CAAGGCCACCGCCCCCCCCAGCACCTCTCCCTCAGTCCCAGGCTGACGTTAAGTCACACGAGACAAAAGCAAACAGTGTGGTACGGAAATGTGCTCAATGTCACTGGACTCAAAGAAATCCCAACTAAAGTAAGATATTTTTCCTATGAAACCAGTTGAGACGTTTAAAAATACTCCATTTTGGGAGGGAGGCGAGGGAGCAACACTGGCAAGGGTGTGAACTGAGCGTCACCCCCCTGGAAAGCACGCAGCAATACCGAGTACAAGTTTCAGAAACATAAACGCCACTCAACCCAAAAATTCTAGAAATTGTTCCAAAACGGTCATTTCTTAAGGGTGTGGCCCATTCTAAAACATACACTCTAAGTGAAGAAGCCACAATGCTGTGTGCCCAAGTTCACCCACTGCTTCATTTTAAATCCAAACGTTCATCTAGGTAGGTAGAACCCATATTCCCATATGCCAAAATTACAAACAATATTTTAAGTAGTATGTGCTGTCACTTTCTCTGAAAACGAGGAGAGCAGGTCCTCGAATAACGTCCTTTCATTCAACACTTCGTCATGGGAGAGAGAAGAAACTGACTCCTGCCGGGGCCACTGTCCGCGTGGAAGTGTGTGTTCTCCCTCTCTGCGTGGGTTTCCTCCCACGCCCCAAAGGTGTGCGCAGGTGTGTCAGCGCGTCCTCGCTGTGCCTGTGCGAGTGAGGGCGTGTGTCCCACCGAGGCCCACCCTGCACCCTGAGCGGGCTGGAAAACAAATGCAGGTGATAAAAATTCGCAAGCTCTGCCGTGATCGTACAAACACGTGGCAAACGCTCGGCAAGCCGCCGCGGTGTTCCCGAACCGCGTGGCGGGAGCGAGCACCCGCGCTGCGATCTAGCCCACCGCTCCCACGGCCACAGGCAGGAGCAAGCGCCGCGTCCCCCGCGGGGCCGCCTCCAGACCCGGACGTGAGCCGCGCACCTACTCAACATGCGCAGGTAGTTCTGCCGCTGGCGCGACCGCAGCGTCCTCGCCACCCACTGCCTGTGCCTCAGCTGCGAGGCGGCCACGACCTGGGCGGACACGCGCTGGCACTGCGTGCTGATGCTTCGGAGCACAGCCGCCACCTCCAGGACGACTCTCGGGCAGAACAGAGTGGGGATGGGGACGCTGCAGAGTTCACGCAGCACCTGGGGCCACCTGCAGATCAGAGAACGACTCCTGTGGGACGTGCTCACCGCCGACACCTCGCTACTTCTGCGCCTGGGCCTGCTGGACGGCAGATACTGGCGCCCGCAGCGCGTCACCAGTAGGTCCGCGGCTGCAACTGAGACACATGGCGCGTGTCAAATACATCACGTTTTGTTGTGGTGAGCGCAATACGGAATTTGTGACTCCCATCAGACAGACCCACACTCGTGCAGAGATGATCAGGGCTTATCTGGTAATTCCTCCTGGGGCAGTAACAGTGGGAATCCAACACTGCTACCAAGCTTACACAATTTAAAACGGAAAATGGCTGAGTTTGCTAATTCGCTTAATCGGTGTTTTAACAATTCTCAGGATGTCCTGGAACTTACCTCTCAGTGGGGAGTTTATCCACGTCATTAAAAACACCATGGCTCTCAGGCACGTGGTGACAGAGCTCACACATAATCTTTCTAATTAAGGAGCGGCAGGCATTTGTTTCAGAATTGTCTTCTAATCTAAAAAACAGAAAATGTTAAAAGACACGTGACAGTAACTAAAATGCCCACATTAGTGCCTACGCAAAATAACGTTTAAATTAATGGCTCACTGAGTAAAGAGCTTAATCTGAAACTTACCTTCCCCAGCAATAATTAAAACAGCTGCCATCACAGAGACGGGTAAAAATAAACAACACAATATGCTGAACAAAACGCACTACGCTGAGAAAAGATCTGCACAAATCGCTCCAGGACTGTTACACCACCCTCAACAACCCTGCCTGCTGTATCCTACGATTCAGAAACTGGGATCTACATCCCCACTTCTCTGTCGAGCTTCAGACTCATCTTTTTAAGTATCCACTATTTCTCAGTGGACCCCATTAGGTTCCCCACAAAACCTGCCCCTCTTTCTGCGTTCTGCCTCCGTAAGAGCTGTCCCAGCCAGACGGGGCCACACGTAGCACCACCTCCAGCTGGGCTCTGCCTGCACCAGCCACCGGCCGCAGATCCCCCTTCCCAGGCCACCTTCCAACAGCCCAGTCGAAACTATTGTTGAAACTAACTGTAACTGAGAACAACTAGGTGCGCAGGCCCTAGGTGACAGAT